TGCACGGTATTCACGGTGCAATATATTCTGCATTGTGCACATGGGAAAAAGTGAGTGTGCAACTTACTTCTTTCTAACACCTCCGGATGTCCCAGCCGAGGTCTCCTCGTCTTGTCGTATGTCTTCCGCCAACATTTCCAGGTATTGGACGTCGGAGAAACACACTTCGTCCTCCCGCTTTCTTTTACCACTATCACACATTTTACAACGATCTAACAATCTAACGAACAACTGTATACAAAGGTGCCCTATCTGGCCGAGCGACGCACGATTGAACTTACCGGGTACGAAACACGAATTCTTCCATGACGAACCTCTCCACTAAAAAAATGTGCTTCGGGTAATCCAACCCCTCAGTAAAAAACAATAACGTCTCATTTAAGTGTTCGCGGGTACAGCTTGGAGCGCAGGCGCGTTGTGAATTTCATGCAATGTGCAAGCTCATTTATCTTGCAGCCACAATGCTACATGAAGGACCAATCAGAACGATTTGCGCATGCGCACTTCGCGCATTTATAGTTCCAAGGTGTACCGCAGGGGTGAAAGGGGACGAATAAGCATCCGGAACATTTTAGCACTCGTCCTGTTGATCACCGACCATCGCGCAGACGGCACGTTTCATTGCAGTGAACAAGTGAGGAAAGTGACAACTGAAAGAGAGGTTAACTTAGGTTTGTTTGTTTCTTTATTTCTTATACTCTGCATTCTATCATGGAACGTGAAAACTCGAATTCATCAATCCATTCATCACGGAAACCAGTGAGTCAACTGTCAGATAGGCAGAAGCTTCGAATAAGACGTTAAAGTCCTTGCACATGCCAGACTGAAATATTCTTCGCATAATTTGAACAACGCCAATTCAACCTGCATTGTACATGATACGCAAGCTGTTCCTTGTACTTCTGCTAATCCTTCGTCGTCGATTAATGCTATTTCTACGCATGAGGCGAAATCGCGAATCGAGAAGGGTAGACAACGAGAAGCACCCTTTATATTTATGCATGTCATCGATAATATGTGTGAATATTATCGATGACAGTGTAAAGGGTGCTTCTCGCTGTCTCGCGGCCCTGATCTGGTATCTCTGACGGAGGTGGGGTTTAGTGGGTATTAGGGCATCAGGCCCTGAGTCCCACACACGGAGGGAGTGCCCAACGGCTCCCTCTATGGTGCGTAAACGCATTCCCCACCTCCGTAAAAAAAAAATAAAAAAAAATGTGTATTGTAAAACAATGCTGTATGTACAATTAACTTTCTCGGACTTTGGGAGAGGAGGGGGTTCTGGTGTTCGTGATCGATTGCGGGGGTCGGTCGTAGTCTGAGTGTCAGGCGAAAATTTCACAAAAGCCTGAGGAACATCTGTTTAACATGCTGACCGACAGTCACCAGAAAATAGCTAAATCCACTCGTAAACACGTGTCTGATCAATTCTTGGGACAAGCGCACAAACCCTTGCCGTCATAAACCGTAATTGCGAAACTTACGCCAGGTAATCCTCTTGCCGGTCCCTTAAAAAGTATAGGACCATCAACAAGAAGTAGGTGCTTAAACGTGTTAAAAAATTTCCTATTGTATTGCCTACCATTAAAGCCAGATGCGATGCACATCCGCGGGTCGTCCTCACGCATTCTGCAATTTCCAAATAACACTGCCATATTTTAGTTTGAGAGGACGACTGCCGTTGTTACGTCCTGAATTACGGGTTCTTGCCTTTATTTAAAGTGCTTAAGCACACCTTGACCTAACTATCTATTTTAAGGGAATAGGTAGTGGATATAAAAGGATTGACACGAGATTTCTATAACAATGCACGGTTACATACCAGCTGCTGCTTAGTTCAGCCCTTTGACTATATATACATGGACTGCCAGTAGCATAGGCTTGCAATGCTAACGTGCCGTCGCCAACAGCAGGTAACCAAGCTCCGCCTTCGGGACCATCACGTGACCAAACAGCGGCACTTTCAAAACACTAAAGTGAAATGGTGTATAGTACATGCCCTTAGAAATCTCAAATCGTATTATTTTTTAAACCGTGGATCTAGAATATTTCTAAATTAAATCTTGTTTTATGTTTTCAAAATGAAAGGTATTTGAGAATGTAAAATGATGAAATAGGATTTTGCCAAGAAATGAAACATCATGTACTATTTGGTATAATAATAAATTTTATTGTCCTCTAAAAAGTACTGTTTTTGTTAACGATTTCCTTATAAACGTTTTATGATAATTTAACGTTTGAACAGTACCTTCGTATCTTAACTTAACATCTAAATAATAGCTTATAATTAATTTAATAACTTCATATTTGTGATTTTGTAATACATCTTCTTCCATTGAATAGATGTCAAAATTTCGAAATAGTGCAAACATATTTATATTTCTCATGGTTGCTACAATCATTTTATGTTTAGCATTTGTAATTTGCAGCTTATTCTCTACTTTAAATATATTAAATACTTTCTCTGTCACACTGCATATTATAAATGTATCTTATCGTGGATATCTTATTGTTAGTGAGCCACAAGATTTGTGTGCAATGAAATTTGAATGTGCAGCTATACATTCATCTATTAATGTTATGCACGTTAAACATTTAATTCTTTTTAATATCTTACGTTCTAAAAACCCTGCCGTGTACATCACAGCGTGGTGTAGCCCTTCGTATAAAGTGTTTAGTGGTACAACTGGAAAACTGTACACAATTAAAAATACGCCACTGGTATTTTCCACCGCTGATTAATTCCAGTGAGTAAATGTACCAATGCCTCCTTTGCCAGTGGTAAATTTTCGTTGTTCTCCGTCTGGATACCAGTATCTATGTATCCCACAAATTTAGTTTTTGATTTGTCCCAGACAACTTGACTGCGAATAGCCATCTCGTCCATCGTTAAACAGGCGTATAACTTTTTGTCCCCAGCTTCCTCGGATTTTCTTTTTAAAATGTCAATTGCTTCTTTTGTGAAGCCTGGTGACCCATCAGTCGTGCTATACCAAGCTCTAATCGTCGATGGACTTGGCAATTTATTTTGAAATACTTGCCGTATATAATTATACGCTTTTGGACTGTAAAAATTTACAGTCAACGCAAATGCGCGTAAACCTGGCGGATATTGCCCGTTAACTTTGCCGGTCTGTATTTCTTTTACTACAGATTCTTCTGTTATTGCCTACGCATGTAATTTCAAAATGAGTGTATATGCATTTAGCAATAAATCATAAGGTTATGCAAAGTACGTTTCCATACGTATATGGAATTTCCAGTACATATTGCAATTATTGTTATACCTCAATAACGTGGGAAGAATTTGACGAAAGCTGACATTGCTCGCGCAATTCCTGCAGTAGGTTTTCCAGGCTAACAATTCTCCTCTTCTGCCTTCTCGATTGACCGAAACGAGGGAACGGACGCTGCAATTCCCGGCCCTCCCGGCGAGAAGGGAATCTCCGGCGGACAACGAAATGTACAAAAAGAGGAATGAAGGTATGCAAAGAATAGAAATATATACAATATAAAATATAAAATCCTATCACGGTGAATAATATATATAAAATAAGTTGAAAATAAATATAATTGAAACATAATATAATACAATAGTATTAATATTTTAATTAGAATACCTATGAGCAAGTTTCTTTGTAACTATTTTACTAACATTCGGCTGGACGCTTTTAGCCGACTGTAAACGTAATACATATTTTAAATTTCCGTCTACTAAACGACATTTATGATTGGATTTTGCACGTTTCATGCGTGAAAATAAGGATTCGCACCGGTACGTGGAGCCAAATGTTGCTAATATTTTCCCAGCGCACTTGTGCAATTCAGGATATTTTATAAACGGAAAATTTTCATAGAAACGTATTATATCAGTCTTTTGAAATTTACGAATTAATGTTTGATCGTAACGTATATTATTTAACTCTGCTTTTAAAGCTTCGTTATTTGTCATTAAACTTAAATCTACTGAAAATGGATTTCCAGTAATATTAATATATAATTCTAATTTTTTAATATCCTCGAATCGGGAGGTAAAGTCCTTTTGTAGCTCTGCTACAATTTGTTTGAAATATTCATAATTTATATTTTCTAAAGTTTGTGGCAAAATAGACTTTAACTTTGGAAAACTTTGTACATTTTTTGCTGACAATTCCTATGACCAAACGTTTACTTTAGTTGTAAATGATTTTATATTATTGTAAAAGTGTATAATAGTTTTTTTATTCACTTGTAATACTATATTTAAAGAATTTAAATAATCGACTATGTTAGACACGAAAGCTAGTTTGTATACCCAATTTTCATCGTCTAACTCCGGAACGGAAAAATTTGTTCCTTCCATTTCCAGGAATAATTTTATTTCCTCCCGCATGGTAAAAAATCTATCTAATAACTTGGCCCGGCTTAGCCAACGTGCATCGGTGTGCAAGGGCAACTCTACAAAAGGCATATCTAAACTTTTTAAAAATGATTGGAACCACCTCCTTCTCAAAGAATTCATTCTAATGTGATTTGTGACTCTTAGGGCCACTGCGACAACATCTTCCACATTCATTTTTTTTGCACATAAATGTTCTTGATGTATGCCGCAGTGAATTTTTGTTATTTCCTATTTTAATCCTAAGCCTATTCGCATATCCAAGTCCCGGTAGAGGGCACTATCGTTGCCTCTCTAAGTTATACTAAAGTCACGTGATGTTGCGAGGCAAGTTAAAGTTTGAAAAATTAGTTATAGTAAAATGCAATGTTTATTTATCATACTG